TAGGAAAAATCGATCGAATCGTCTGTAAATAATAATAATACATGCGCCAAAACATATATATTATTATATATTGAGAAAATTCACGTCTCCCCGGTCCCGAAAATATAAATTTCATATAAATCTGACTCCGTGTGAATTAGATATGATTTTTATAAGATATAAAAGTTAGTCGCGCACAACGAATGTATGACGTAAAAAGTTACAAAGAGAACGGTTGATTTTTGGTTAATACCACCAAAACGAAAATCGAAGTACTTCTTAAAATAGGAATTTTGAGAAAATGAATGTTAAATACGGAGTTCGTATAATAGAGTTATGATTTTAGCAAAATCATTTAATTTTATAAATATATGTATGAAAAATAAACTTAGAATTGTCCGATGGAGTCTAAACGAACGTTGTAGATCACGTCGATAGCTACGCGTGCATATAATGAACGTCGAAAACGGAGTTTATATGAACGAGTTATAAATTATAATAGCATATTTACGTATTAAAATAAAGTATAAATCATATATACGTATACATTAGGGGTGAGTAAACTCAAACCAAGAAACCGACCGAAATCGAAAAACCGAAACCGAAGCAAAACCAATGTTTAGGGTTTAAATTTTTTAAAAACCGAAAAATCGGGTTCGGTTTCGGGTTTTACATAGAAACCAACCCACTAAACCTGTAAAACCGAACCATGTACATATTAAAAAAAACACAATATTTAATATTACAACCCTAAATGTGGCGTAATCTGTAAAGTGTAAATTGAATTCAGTTCTCATTTTCTCACTTAGCGTCATTTCTCATCTCCCCTACTCCGATCGAAGCCGATGACGCAAGTGTACTCCAGTAGTAGGATCTACGACGAGCTCAAACCCGTTCCCAAACCGCCTGCGTCACCCTTCCAAGTTCCAAAGTTGCTAGCCCGCTACACCTCCAACGATTCCTTCTCGCTTCTCAGGTTGGTTTTCAAATTTCTCCCTTCTAGCTTTTCATTTTCTCACTTCTTGGTTGCAATTGCCAATTTGTGCATTGCTTTGCTGCTATTAGATTACATGTTCATCCCCACACAGCCAAGTGTTGATGTTGCTTTGCTGAAATATTTGTTCAATTTATGAAATTAGTACACAATTTTGGAATGGTAGGAAACTGCCGAGTGCCGACTCTTCTACAACGACCTAAACATAATTTTTTTTATTATGAAATTATTACACCGATTTTGGCTATTTGATTATGGATTCTGTCATTTTGATGCTGAAATATTGTTCGTATATCACCTAAAAACCTACTTTTTTTGGTAATGCTAGAAACTGTTGTTGTTGATTGCATTTTTTTTATGTAGATGGAAAGGTCTCAACTAGATGCACAAACGATTGATATTGATGCTCCACAAACTGTTGATGTTGATGATGGAGAGGATGCTACTACTATCCGTGACACTCCAACACCCACCAAACCATATGTTGGGACTGCCCAAAAACGAGGAATGTGGGAGGTGTGGGAAGAGTGTTAATGATGGGGCATGAGGAGACTGTGAATGATCCTACTGTGTTTACCGGTACATTCCTCCTTAATAACTCATATGCATGCATACTTTTCGATAGTGGTGCGGATAAAAGTTTTGTGACCCACAAGTTTAAACACTTACTTAAACAAAACCCTCAATCATTAAAAGACATATTTACTGTACCCGAACCATGTTATCTCCTCTCAATATACTACTTAGAACCTCTAAAATTTTCTCTGTTTCAAGTATGGGTCCTCTACTTTCAATAGTACGGGCCCATACTATCTGCCACCTCTACCCATAATTTCCACTTGGATTGTCCCAGATCTCCTAAGTAGCTGCTCAACTTTCTCGGTCACCAATCTTGTTACACATGCTCGCCCTCCAACGCATGCTCTTCCCCAACAGTGTACTCATAGGACTTAAATTACTCACTAGGTTCTCACACTTCTCTACCATCAGCTGTTGAAGAACTCCTTATAATGTCATCCATCCACCTCCTGAATATCGTCATATTCACTCGGTAGATCACTCCCATTATCAAGAGTTCCACAAAGCACAAAGCAAGCAACATTCGGGCATCGAATAACCTCCACCGATACTAACACACCACTCGAGCACACAACTCCACTGGCCCTACTCTTGACTCAAAGGCATCACTGAACTTAGGCTGTCTCACCTCTCATGGTATCTAATTACTCTTCTCAATAGACTCCTCGAATGCTTATCTAGGCATCTCTCTTGCTAAATACTCTTACTCATCACATACTCAGGGCACATAACATATAGCAACAATCCATAGGCTAAGGCATCATAAATCAGGCATCTCTAGCCCTAAACATGAATTACCTGGCCTATCCTCTATCATGCATAATGATATCTCATAACATCTCATCAATATTTCATAAAGTCAACAATTTTTGGTATTTTGGGAAATCACCGTTCGGGCTCTGGCTGATTGTACACACTGCTCCTTCTCGTTTTTCTCTAAGAAATTCTTAATTGTTTTTAGAAAAATCTTTTATTTTGAAATTTTTTCTCAAATCCTCACTTTGAGTCCAGACATACCCGAAGGTGCATCCGAATCCCTTAAACCAAGGCTCTGATACCAACTAGTAACAACGTAACTTTTCGAATAAATTATTCATTTAAAATTGCATAATTCTCATAACACATTTCACAAAATTTCGTTTATTTAATTTACAAATCTCAACTCCATAATTGTTTGATTAAAATCTAGGATCTTCAAAACATAGTCTTTCTCTGGTTTGTACAATCAAGTCAGTGCCTTCCTGCGATCCTAAGAAAAACCTGAAACACATAACGCATAAAGCACGAAGCTTAGTGAATTCCCTAAAATACCACACACACAGCTCATTAGCCACTCGAGTCTATATCATTGTAGGACCCTCCAGTAAATGTGTCTTAGTGGGACCCTCGAGTCCTACGATTCGTTGGACCCTCTAGTTCGGTCTGTTAAGCTCTACATAGCATAAATCACAAAGACATAATGCACAGCATACAACATAAAGCAGGATAACATAATACTCAATGTAAGCACATAAGATCCTCTTGTCACACATAAGTACCACTCTAGGTAAAGTATAATGAGAAGACTCACCTTGCTAACTGCAAGCAATTATCCTCGAATTTGAATCTCGAACCAGCCACTACCTAACACATAAGGTAATTATCTCTAATCAATACTCGAATTCTCAACTATAAGTAAACCAAAGGTTACTCTTTTTCTTTCTTTCTTTCTCTCTCTCACTCTTGAAATGGGTAAAAGACCATTTTACCTATCCATGATCTCCATTACTCATTTATGCCCAAACCCTAAAGTCAACTGAAGTCAAACTCGAGTCAACAGTCCTTGTTTGACCCGACTCATCGAGTGCACTCATGCAACTGGTCGAGTCCACTCATATCCTCAGAAGTCTCGTGAAGGTTCCACTCAGCTCGTCGAGTTGACCCCTAACTCGACGAGTTATCGCTTGGCCCTGAATACCGGGACGGACCCAAACTGACTCGTCGAGTCAGCTCATGGACTCGGCGAGTTCATACAAACTCAATCCTCATTCAGACGATTCTAAGCAGATTTATAACCCCACACTCTAGATCTACCCTCCTAAGGCTCGAATAGCACGTAAACCTACAAGCTTTACGTTTATGCATGGAATATAAGGCTCATAATGCCAAAACATGCTCCAACAAGGGATAAATGCACAAGATCTTGCTTCCAGCTCAATAAAGCTCGGTTCTCTGGACTCACAAGGCCACTCATAGTCCATATCTGAGGTTCTAACCTCAATCCTTACATAAATCACTCCATGACATAAGACAAATGGAAGAAAGCCCTAAAAGTTCCCTAAAACAAAATCTCATAAGGAAATGATCAAGCTAGCAACTTTTACCTCCGACTTGAAGCAAAACTCTGAAGAATCTTTGGATCCAAAAGTCTTCTCTTGATCCAAGCCAAGTTTCTCTCCAAATCCCCTCTCAAAGTTGCACAAGAACACCCAAATTAGCCTCTTTCTCTCTCAAATGGGTGGAACTAATCAAGGGTTTCCCACATGGCTCTCTGGAGATAAGGGAGGCGGAAATAAGGGCATAAGGCCCATTAAATAGGACACAAACCCAAAAAATTAGGGTTTCTCTGCCCAGCACCTACTCGGCGAGTCGGCCCTCTGACTCGTCGAGTCCATTCATTAAAGCCACACGGACAACTCGAATCTACTCGAAGATTTGGACTCATAGCTCATCGAATCACTCTATAAACTTAAAAAAATATATACACACAATGATATACCTGAAAGTCCGGATGTTACACGAAGACCCAGTCTTCTCCTTGGCTCCTCCAGTAGTGGGATTGGTTGGTCTTGTCGGTGCTTTCTTCCTCTATATGACTGGGCGGTTCAGTCGCCCTGTTGTGTCTCCCCTCTAGCAGTTTCAGAGGACTTTCATTGAGGGAACAGGTGGAGCTCTTGGTACCCCCAAGAAAGAAATTCAGGTTACGTTTCTTACAAAGAGGGGGCTCGGTGCTATCCGTCTCAATTCGACCACCGGAAGAGGCCTCCAAGAAAGAAAAAACTCCTCTTGACACGGAGGAGACTCCTCGGTGACCCAGAAGGGACAGGATCCTTCTGAGAAGCGTCAGTGACAAAAATGTGTTGCAAATCTGAATCTTCACCGGTACCAATAGCACTTTTCGAACCAACAGTAGCCTCGATTCCCCGACTAGAAACGGGAGGCAGAAGAGTCTTTACAAGGTTAACGTCGTGACATTCAAGATCGTCGTGAAATAAACCTTGAAGAGCTTTCTCCAAGGAAATAACCTCCTCCACACCTGCCAACAAAACAAAGACACTGCGGTTAACCAAAATGCCGATTTAAATGTGATTTTTCGAATAAAAAGGGGTAAGGGGGCAAGAGAGAACAGAAGGAGAAACGTAATACCCTCTTTCTCGATGAAAAACTCAAGCATCTTTCCACGATCCCTCTAAGCGGCTCTCATCTCGCCAGTGGCCAAGAAGCAATCAAGCCAATCCTTACCATTGATGTTGATCTTCTCTAGGACACCAGCCAGTTCTTTGTCAGCACCAAAGAGTGTTGGAGAGCGGTCAACGTACGCCTTAGTCCTTGGGTAGCTAAGCACCACAAGGTCGTTGTTCACCCATAGAAACTTCTCATGCCAGATTTTCTTGGACTTCTTATCGTGGATAAGGGTAGGGAGTCCCCACCGACGAGAAAGGGTCCAAGTCCTCGACTGAGTGGAAGCATTGAAGAAGTACTTAAATGTCGGAACAGTCGGCAGGAGGCTTAGGGCATGACAGAGGAGTTCAAAACCCATTATCGTCTTTATAGCAATCGGGGTCAGCTCCCTCACAGAAAACCCATACTCACGGATAATTAGATTGAAGAAGTATGTAGTAGGAAAACGCAGACCCGCTTCGAATAAGGCTATCAAAATGATGACTTTGCCTTTGGGAGGACTGTAAAGCGATGCATCTGGAAGAGGAATTTGAACCCCTTGTTCGGAACAAATGCAAATCGAAACCGAAAAGATTCCTATTCTTCGGTAGTAAGATCCCTTCCCAAAGAACGAGCGGTAGCCATGGAAGAATATGAAGGAAAGGTCGAAAAAGGTTTCTTTGGGGCAAGAAGGCAAAGAGAGAAAAGTAGAAAGTAAGGAGGAAACGCCAGGAGGAACAGAGGATTAAATGCCACCAAAGGGGCAGCGAACCTTTTTCTTGATGAAACCGCCGAAGAACGGTGATATCGCTCTGTCAACCGCATAAGCTATCAGTAGCGGCCCGCCACGTGTCTGTGAGTAGACCATAACGACTCTGCTATGTCATTAACACAGAAGCCTACTCGTCTAAGGGACTTGTCAATGTTACCATGTACGGCCACGTTAAATTTAATGGAAAGCATAAATGAGACGTTATCACTCCAGAACCTTGGCCAAGACCCGGACTTGGCCTAAGTAATCCAGCACCAGGGTGGCAGTTCGCTTCCTTTCACGGGGAAAGAATATTCCTTGTGATCTTCTCATTCACTCATGCCCAATCAGGACGTAACAAAAAGCTTAGGTGACGCCTAGAACTGACGTCACCAGACAGTTAGTTAGCATGGGCATAATCCTCATAGTTAGAGGAGGCCACGTCTCACACTCATTGGGTAGGCCCCACGATCCGTTAGTAACAGGTATAACAGGATCTCTTCCATCTCAAGGAAGGGATCCATCTCCTTCCTCACTGAATTTACCCTAAACTCTCTCTCTCTCTCTCTCTCATATAACTAACTTAATCGTCAGAGCGATGTCCCAGTGAAGAGCCTGTCACAACATATATATATATATATATATATATATATATAATACTTACTTCCAAAGTAGGATATATAACATCCTTATACTCGTGAGGAACACACTCTTAAGATTGATAATGTCGTGGCACCCTTGATCCCACCTGAGTTGAGACCAACCTTACAAACTTTTGTTAGTTTTCGACTATAAATCTGAAGTTCTCCCCGATGGCATCAAATTGAAGGGGTAAGGTTGGAAAGTATTTTTCTGTGTTCTTCATAGAGATTCAGGTTTCTTCCTGCGCCGCACATATTCTTGGATTTACTATATGGACATATAGAATTGAAAATTTAGAATTTTAAAAACATATCTAATACTAAAGAAGTTCCTATAACTTACAAAACTCGCAACCTGATGGTATCCTATGTAGCCCTCATGTGGAGGCTTGTCCCCGCCATCTTCTCCATATCCTCAGGCAACGTCTGATGCCATCTGTTTAATAAATATTATAAGCAATCAAAATGTATAGTAGATATACTTTAAACAAAACTTATAAGTAGAATTTGAAATTTTAGCAAATATTATAAGCAATCATAATATATAATAACCGTAAGATACATTCAATAGAATCATTACTAGAATAATATACATCTAAAAGATCATCATTGTTGTCATCGTTTGCGTTCTTTATTTATTCTTCAGTGGCAACTATTCCTTAAAATTTTACTTACACAACATATTAAGCACTTATCATGAAAATAAGAACACATTAAACACTTATAAATTAAGCTCTTTATCAACTAATCACTAAGCACTTATCATGAAAATAGAAACACATTAACCATTCACTTACAAAATATATTAAATACTTATCATGAAAATAGAAACATACTAAACACTTCATCAATTAATCATTAAGCACTTATCATGAAAATAGAAATACATTAACCATTCACTTACAAAGCATATATATTACACACTTATCATAAAAATAGAAACACATTAAACACTTACCGGTTAACCACTTATCTATTAAACACAATATCTATTAATCACTTTATCAATAAAACCAAAGCTAGAAACCTTACATGTTCTTCCCGATATTTTGCCTAGATTCTGGTGGTCAGTTATAGATGGTGGCGGCTTCTACTCACTGTACGAAACCCGAAATCAAAAAAATAAAAATTTTGGAAAAAACAAAAAGACATCTTATACCTACTCGTTCTACTTTGGTGGTCGAAAGTAAGTAGTTACTGATGGGGGCCATTGGTCCTCCAATGACTAGTTTATACCAGGAAATCAAACCAAAATCATATATATATTTCATTGGTGTCGTTTATAGATGTGGTGGTCGGTGGTCACCACAAAAACTAGAAAAGCAAACCGAAATAAATAAAAAATAAACCGGAAAACAAGTCAAATCTGAAAAGATTGAGTGACCTAGAAGTTACATGAGTTCGGCAGTGAAAAGGAGTGGTCGTGGGAGTGAATCGTCGATCAAGAGAGAATCAAACTTGTTTTGTGTGTTGCATTGTGATGAATGGGACGTCGATGGCCTTTTTTTGAAGATAGAATCTTATATCGACGATATGTCGTCAGTGTAGGGTTAAAAAACAATGTCGTTTCAATTTATTAGATAAATTAGAAGTAGAAATTAAATTAAAATTTATACTAATGACAAGTGGTTGGTATAAACTACCGACGGATCGATGCTCATCTATACCAACCACATTGTTTAAGAGCATCATTACGGTTTAAAAATAATATAAACAAATACACGCCCATGCCTTTATGAAAGCACATGTTAAAATATACATGAATCACAAAATAACAACTTTTCTTGGTCGGCACAGTTTAAGTACTTTGTCGTAACAAATACTTGATTTCCTTTAGATTGTTCAGGAAAATTATATGCTTATGTATATATAAGGCATTCAGTTAACGCTCGGAAGCTTACAGACATGACCCTCTTCCCTTATTGTCTAGTACGGGAACTCCACGTATCTTGCATAAGCAAGGACCACTGTAAGTTATAATAAATTTCATATCCATACAAGCTCACTACAAACTCTATATATAGGGTAGATTCTAGTCGAACTCTTAGAATATATACCCTCGATAAAAACTCAAATCTACCACAAGATTTGGTAGCTTGAAGAGTAGTTACCAGCATCATCTTTATCATCAATCTGATCAACTTGAAAGAAATTATGTTTTTAACCCTACTTATCATGTGCCTTCTTCTGTTATGGCTTTTCATGACCATAAAAACTTCATGCAAAGTGTACTTAATAGATTTTTCCTGTTACAAGCCGCCGGTTTCACAGAAGTGCACGAAAGAGATTCTTATTAAAAATGCAATTCTTATGAAAAAGGCAAGAGACGGTGGACTTCTCTCTCAAGGGACGCTGGATTTCATGAGAAAACTACTGGAAAGATCTGGGCTTGGTGACTCCACTTATATGCCAGAGATCTTTTCTGATGATCAAAGGTATACACCATCTATAAAAGATTCGAGAAGGGAAGTCGAGATGGCCATTTTTGGATCAATAGACAAGCTTCTTGCTAAAACAGGTGTAAGAAGTGAGGATATTGGGATCGTAATTGCGAATTGTTGTATTTACAACACAATCCCATCTCTTTCAAGCATAATAGTTAATCAGTATAACCTTCGAGAAAATGTCGCCAGCTACAATCTTGTTGGGATGGGATGTAGTGCAGGTCTTCTCGCAATAGGACTTGCTAAACAGCTCCTCCAGGTTATGTTATATATACATTATTAAATAAAATACGAGTGTATATATAAACAAGATTATGTGAGACCTAGGATCATGTTAAACTTTTATTTTACTTTTTTTGAATACTCGTAAGGACACCTTACAAAAAAATTTTAAAAAAAAATACAAAATCTTAAAATCGAATATAGTATTATATTAGACAGAAAAAAAAAATTACATCATTAAAATTAAATCATAGATCATTTTTATGATCCATGATTTAATTTTGGTGATCAAAAAAAAATTTCGTTTTTTTTTTCTCTTTAATACTTGATTTTATGATTTTTATTTTTTTATAATTTTTAAACTTTTTTTTAAGATGTCCGCACGAGTACTCATTTAAAAAAGAGTCTTCACCGGAACTAACTAACTAACTAACTAACTATATATATATATATATATATATATATATATATATATATATATATATATATATATATATATATATATATACTGCCTCCGTCCCAATATTATTGTCTACAGAAAAAAAAACACACAGATTAAGAAAAACATTAATTACTATTAGCGTTATATAATAAAATGACAGTTTTATCCTTACGTTGCATTTAATGTTCCATTAAATGCTTAGTTGGTTAAGTAATAATGAGAAGGTATTTTGGTAAAAATGTTATTTATTTTTAGAAGTAGATTATTATTTTGGGACAAACCAAAAAAGAAAGATGGACTATAATTTTGGGACGGATTGAGTATATATATAGGGTTAAGTTCAATAAAGAACCATAATTAACCAAAGAACCAATCTTTTTTTCAACTTTTAAAATTTATTTTTTATCAAAAGAAAAACTAAAAATACAAATATTTATAATTTTTTATACTTTTTCCAATGATATCAAATTCGATTTTTTTTTACGTCAAATTCACAATGTGAATTTTTGAAAATTCATAACGTGAATCCGGATTCACACGGTGAATCCGAAAAATATTTTTCATATTCACAATGTTAATATATGAATTTAGATTTTTTTTTCGATAAAGAATAAGCTCTAGAAATTGAAAAAATAGATTTGGTTGCTTGAAGAACCAATAATTATGGTTTTCTATTAAACTTTATATATATATATATATATATATATATATATATATATATATATATATATATATATATATATATATATATATATATATATATATATATATATATATATATAGGGTTAGGTTAATATGAGACGGTCTAGTTTTGTGAGACCGTGAGACACATTTTATTTATTTTTATTTTTATTTTTTTATTATTTTTTTTAATTTTTTTTAGTTAATTCAAGTTCCGAAAATAATATTTAAAAAAAAAAATTTTGATTTTCCATTTATTTTGCATTTTAAAATTATTTTTATAATATGTACAGTGTAATATTCTATTTAGAATATTTCACGTATTTTTCAAAAAAAAAGTAGGATTTTATTTATTTATTTATTTATTTTAGTTAACTCAAGTTCCGAAAATAATATTTAAAAAAAGAATTTTTAAATTTTTCCATTTATTTTGCATTTTAAAAATATTTTTTAGAATATATCAGTGTAATATTCTATTTAGAATATTTCACGTATTTTTCAAAAAAAAAAACGGGATTTTTTTTTATTATTATTATTTTTTAGTTAATTCAAATTCCGAAAATAATATTTAAAATTTTTTTTTTTTTTATTTTTCCATTTATTTTGCATTTTAAAATTATTTTTAGATTTGATCTCACGGTCTCACAAAATTAGAATGATTTCAAATGAATCTGAACATATATATATATATATATATATATATATATAATATATATATATATATATATATATATAATATATATATATATATATATATATATATATATATATATATATATATATATATATCAAGCACATACAGTTAATTAATAGAGAAAATTAACGAACTACTAATTAATTTGACAGGTGCACCAAAACACCTTCGCGTTGATAGTGAGTACAGAGAGCATTACAGAAAATGGCTACCTGGGAGAAGATCATTCCAAGTTCATTGCCAACTGCCTGTTTCGTACCGGCGGTGCCGCCATACTCCTCTCCAACCGCCCCTCCGACTACCATATCTCAAAATACCACCTTCTTCACACTGTACACAACAACACATCAAGATCAGATCGCTCCTATAACTGCATATTACAGGAAGAAGACACCGCCGGGACAGTCGGCGTCACCATCAATAAAGACCTTCTCACCGCCGCTGTTTCCACCATCGAAGCAAACCTAACCGCTTTAGGTTATTTAATCCTTCCGATGACAGAGAAACTTCTCTACGTAACAAACTACATCACCAGAAACCTCCTTTCAGGATACAAAATCCAGCCTTATGTACCTAACTACAGCAAGGCCGTCGATCACTTTCTCCCTCACGTCGGCGGAAAGCCAGTGCTCAACGAACTGCAGAAGACCCTGCGGTTTTCCGATGCCGTCATGGAAGCTTCGAGAATGACACTGTACAGATACGGAAACACCTCCAGCAGCTCGATATGGTATGAGCTGGCGTACGTTGAGGCACAGGGTCGGGTCAAAAAAGGTGACCGGGTTTGGCAGATGGCATTCGGGTCGGGTTTCAAGTGCAGTAGTGTGATTTGGCGTGCAATGAAGACTGTTGATTATGATGACAACAATCCATGGACGGACGAGATTGCTGGGTTCCCAGTGACTTTGAACAAATGTGAACCAATGCCGGTCTTTTTTGAACCTACCAAGAAAAATTAAATAATGTTCTATTTTTTTGTTTTTAGTACTCGTACTTCCTTATGTACCGTTACATTAAAGCTTATACATCGTGATAATAACTCTCCTTTGTTTGTAACAGGAATTATTCCTCAATGTTTTTGGACTTTCGATCTTTCTTTTACTTTGATAAGAATTATTCCTCAATGTTTTTGGACTTTCCATCTTTCTTTTACTTTGATAAGAATTATTCGTCAATGTTTTTGGACTTTCCATCTTTCTTTTACTTTGATGCTAGGATATAATAAGAAGTTAAACTCACAAACCAAATGGTCAATAGTCTTAAGGTAAGGAATGACCCTTTCATATAAGGGAATAAGACTTGTTAAGGTAATTAAATTTTTGGGTTTTTCACATATAGGTAACTATCTTTTTTTTATATACATCTATGTACCAAATTTTTTAGAATTGTTCACATATAACAATTATGACCTGCTGTAGCAGGTTACATCCAGCTACAGCAGGTCATAATTGTTATATGTGAATAGTTTCATCAAGTTCGTTACCTAGATGTGTACAAAAAAAATAATTACCTAAATATGAACAAAACCAAAAGTAAGAGTAAATTACATGAATGGTCCCTATGGTATAGGGGAATTTGTGCATTTGGTCCCTAACTTATTCTTTTTTACTCGGATGGTCTCTACTATTTATTTTTGTTGCGCGCTTAGTCCCTGTCTTAGCTAAAAAGATTATTATGCCCTTATTAATTTATTTTTTAATTAATTTTCTTATTTATGTTTTTTTATATGTTTAAAAAAATTAATAGACCCCACATATCTGTATCTCCTCACCGTAAATCTGAAACCACATTTGAGAAATTTAATTTGGGTCCCACCGGTCACCATCACATCTCACATCCTCTTCAACCTCTATTTTCTTTCAATCTTTAGTGACATGTAAATCTTCACCATCCTTTTTTTGGTCCTTCGACTCTGGTGAACAAACACCATAACCCACGGTCTCTTCACTTTATTGGGTTGTGGTGTTGGTTCGCTGAAGTTGAAGGACCGAAAAAGAATAGATGGTGAAGACTTCATTGTCATTAAATATGGAAAAGAAATAAAAGTTTAGGATGATGAAAGATAGGATGGTGAGGAGATACAGATATGTGAGGTCTGTTAGTTTTTTTTAAACATATAAAAAAATACATAAATAAGGAAATTAATTTAAAATAAATAAATTAATAAGGACACACTAGTCTTTTTAGGTAAGACATGGACGAAACGCAACAAAACAAAACAGTAGAGACCATCCGAATTAAAAAAAATAAGTTAGGGACCAAACACATAAATGCCCCCAAACCACAGGGACCATTCGAGTAATTTACTCATACTTTAGGTTTTGTTCATATTTAAATAACTATTTTTCTTTTGTACACATCTAGGTAACGAACTTGTTGAAAGTGTTCACATGTAACCATTATGACCTACTGTAGCCGGAAGTAACCTGCTACAGCAGGTCATAATGGTTATATGTGAACAGTTTCAAAAAGTTTGTTACCTAGATGTGTACAAAAAAAAGATAGTTACCTACATGTGAACAAATCGAAAAATTAATTACCTTAATTAGTCTTATTCCCTTCATATAAAAGGTTATGTGTTCAAGTTTCGGTGGAGACATAAATAGTTATTTAGGCATATGTTAGTTAGTTTGTCGTTTTAAGACAAACATTCAAAGTGTTCTAAGATGCATTCATGTTTTAAGATGTTTTTTAATAGGTAATGCACAATGGATTTTAGTTGAACATTAAATAGAGGAACTAGCTTAGAGAGGGTTGCATTCTAAATACAAATTATGGCAAATGGATCCAATATAATACCCTCTTTCAAAAGGCTTGGTAAGGGTTTACTTCGGCAAACAAGGTTATTGTTAGCCTAATAATTAAGTTTACTGGGCATTTTCTTGGTTTGGGTCGATGTTAACCTTTTAGTTAGATTTAACCTAACTATATATATATATATATATATATATATATATATATATATATATATATATATATATATATATATATATATATATATATATATATATATATATATATATAGTTAGGTTCATGTGAGACGGCCTAATTTTGAAAGACCGTGAGACGCATTTTTTTATTTATTTTTTATTTTTAGAATATGTCTGTGTAATATTCTATTTAGAATATTTCACGTATTTTAAAAAAAAAAAAACAAGATTTTTTTTTTATTTTTTTTATTTTTTTATTTTTTTTAGTTAATTCAAGTTCTGAAAATAATATTTAAATTTTTTTTTTTGGATTTTTCCATTTATTTTGCATTTTAAAATTATTTTTAGATTTGGTCTCACGGTGTCACAAAATTAAAATGGTCTCAAATGAACATGAATATATATATATATATATATATATATATATATATATATATATATATATATATATATATATATATATATATATTCTCATTATTTGTAACTATACTCTTTTAATATTCAATAATAAAATCATATTATTTTTTTGTTCATTAGTCAGAGCTATATTCGATTTGTCATTTATGATTGTCTGTAGCAACTTGTACGTGAGGTTGTGGCATTCCCCGGTAAGTTTGTTGGGGTACGAGGGCATCATGCCTTGTTTCGGGAATTTTGGTGATTTTGGGTATGATTATTTGATTTGTATTCCACTTGGTTTGTTTTATTTTATTTATCGTTTTTTAATGTTTCGATTGTTGTTGTTTTGTCTTTTTCCGCAATGTTTTTTATATTTTTCACATCAATTTCGAGGTTTTGTTGTTATGTTTGACTTTTGTTGTTTACCATTTGTTTTGACTTTCGAGAGTTTGATTTGTTCGTCTGTTTTTGGTTTGAGATTATTGTTTAATTGTTTAGTGTTAATTAAGGGTGACAATTCTCAACCTAATCTATAACCCGACACAAATCTAACACGAAAATAAACAATTTTGGGTTGGTATTTTTTACCCAGCAACCCACCAACCCGATTATTTCATGGGTTGGGTTGAGTTACTTATTTGGAATCCTCTCTTTATTCCAATTGTTGTTTATTAAGTCATTTTGTTAGATTCACATTTGGCTGTTCATTTCACTATAGTAAATATAAAATGATAATTATTAGTTAATTTAGAGATGTTTATAATTTGTATAAATTTAAGATGTGAAAAGTTATCCAAAAGTGACCCATTGTTCAGTGAACTAATATACTTCAACAAGTTATGTGCTTTGGGTGAAAAAACATCATAAATGGTCCATGTTGTTTCCCCAGATCAAAAGTTTAGTCCATATGGTTTAAAAACATCATAGATGGTTTATGTGCTTTCAAAACTTTTGACAATTGGTTATTATTACTAACTCAGTTATGGTTTTTCCGTTAATTGAATGGCGTTTTCATCATTTCACTACCACATAGAGCATTTATGATGTTTTCTCTTATTTTTAAAAAAATGAAAAAAAAATGAACTAATATGCAAAAGGGGTCCTATCTCTGTGTGTGTGTGTGTGTGTGTAACACCCGGTTCCCGATACGTATTTTAACTTAAGTAATTGCATGTTTTACACTGGGACTCGTCGAATTGGGGGCCCACCTCGTCAAGCAGACTGGATTTTGGACATGGGTTTTAAGTAACCTACTCGACGAGTCGGGATCCCGATTCGACGAGTAGGATTGTTAGGATGAAACCCTAATATTTGGGGTTTACACCCTATTTAAACACCTTAACGTGTCCCATTTCAGCCTCCATCATCTGTCACAGTCCAGGAAATCCTTAATTCGAAACCCTAAAGCATTTGGAGTGTGAGGGTTCTAAAAGAAGCAAGTAGATCCAGAGATTTTGCTTCATTTCCAGCTCATTCAAGGTAAAAAGCTTCAACCTTGACTTCCCATTTGTTAGATCCTCTTTAGGGCTTGAATCTTGTCATTTTGGGGCATTTCTAAGTCACTTTTGGGTTTAGAACTTAATATAGAGTCATGACTTTAGATCTTGAACCTAGGAGGGTTCTCATAGCATAAAAGTTCCAACTTTATTGTCATAAGATCCCCATGCATCTTGTAGACTTCATTTTTTGACCTTTTAGAATCGAAGACCCATGCATGAACGTAAAGTTCGTGACTTTACGTGTTAAATCGACCCTAGGAGGTCAGATCTAAACTTTGGATGCAATGAGCTCAACTGAAACCGACTGTAAGGACACAGACCTTGGGGGACTCGCCGAGTTGTTCATAGGACTCAGCGAGTCGAGTATTGGCTCCCCAACCTTTTCTGTTCCTAAGGAATCTGGTTGATTCTAGGAGGGGACTCAACAAGAGGAACATGATTATGGACCTGAAGATCAACGTACTCGAGGAGTTCAAGGATGAACTCGACGAGTTCAATGTATTATCCCAATTATATGAAGAAGAACTCGACGAGTTCAAGAAGAACTCGACGAGTTCAAGAAGAACTCGACAAGTTAGGGACTAAACACTTTAACTCGGATGAAGATGAACTCGACGAGTTCAAGGATAAACTCAGCGAGTCAATTGTAGAAGGTCCCGAATTTGTTAAAGGAGAACTCGGCGAGCTCTTGCAAGACTCGACAAGTAGGGTCGAAGTTTTAGCATTTTAAGGATTAGGGAACTCGGTGAGTTGTTGGATCAACTCAACGAGTTGAGTCAACCAGATGTTGAATTTGACCCAGAGTTGACTTTGACCCAGATGTTAACCTTAACTTTGACTTTGACATGAGTAACCCTTGAAAGGGTTAAGAGTATGTAATGGTAAATTAAGGAAGGTTGATATGTGTAGGAGTTGAGAGGAGTTGATCCCAGTAGTGAGGACAGTTCAGACTTTAAGAAACTGAGGTGAGTTACCTTCCAGTATAAGTGGGTCTAAGGTACCAAGGTTGGCCCACTAGTCAGAAATAATAGTAGATATGATTATCTTTGTGATAATTATCTTGTATGTTGCTATCTGTTATGATTATATACTAGGATGATATATGTGTTAGTAGTAGTAGGGGCGGAACAG